TGTACCGGGCATCGAAATGCATATGACATCGTACATATGCTAATGGCATTACCACTTTTGCCTGTGGATAAGGTGATGGAAGGCTTTCTTTCTATAAGACAATTTTACACAGAAAATGTTGAAAATAGTTTGCCAGTGGAAAGCTGTAGAATATTCCAAAGATATTTCCAGTATTACAAATCTACATGGCTCCAAGGTTTGTTAAACCTGAAAAATATTAGAAGAAGATGATATAGGAATATGATGCATTACATTTTAACATTTTAGTTTTACTTAGCATAGTTGTAAAATTGTTTGTCAATTTTAATAACAAAGAACTTTGTTTAAGTAATTGAACAAATTTTTTTTAAAATTAAATTTACATATTTATTTTAATTTATTTAGTTGTTAATAATTTAAGTATGAATAGTAAAATACTGACACTGATTGAGAAATCATGAATAACAATTACAGTGTATTTAAAAGCATAATGTATACATTATACAGGACCAAATGCAGACATCTTGTCCGTAAACAGTGTTATTTGGCGGACAAACAACGTATTGGAAGTTAGCCATCAACACCTCCGCATGCACATGGGTAATATGCATCAACCAGAACCATGGGTGTTTTTAAGTAATTTATTTTATAATTTTTACTAATTTATCTTGTACATACTGTTTTTAATAAAAACATTTTTGTCTTCATAAATTTAAATTAATTATCACTGTAAAGCACTGTAAATGTCTAACAAAAAAATATAATCTACCATGATAGGTTTTATAAAACATTTAAATTTTGCAGAAGGGTTAATTACATACTCAAGTGGTGTATTGGCCGATTACAATTTAGCAATTGATGGTATCCAGGTCAGGGAACCACAACGGCAAATCTGGATAGACCACCAGCGAAACCTCGATTTGGCTTCTAGGCTGTTAGCTGAAGGGCGTTACACAGTATCTGAATTTTTGGCATGTACTAAACATGTTACCCCAAATTTTGGAGTAGTCAGACCCATGCATATTGCTCAACCACGTCCCCTTCCTGAAATACAACCGGTCGTTGAGAATCGGCAACCAGTTAATGCCAGGGAATTTATTTTAGAAAGATGGCCTATTGTTGATGGAGAAATAAATAGTAAAATTTAATATACTCACTTAGATACAACTATAGGTAATAGTCCTAATATTCTTTTATTTTTAGTATTGCATCTTATTCATGGGCTGGACAATGAAGAAGAAGAAGAAAATATACCACATCCAGTATTACCGGATAATACATATATTAGTCTTGAAGACTTGACCAGTAAATAAATATTACACTAAAAATATATAATCATTAATCATGCATGCATAATACACATTATTATTAAAATTTATATACTTTAATTAATTAACATACTTTGAATTTTCAGTTGAACCAATCATATCTGAAAGCTGTTATATATGCCATTACTCAATGCCCACTGTCATAGCAATACCATGTAGACATCAAGGATTGTGTGCTCCTTGCCATCAAACATACATAAGGATGCCACCATACAGAACAATACCATACTACAGATGCCCTTTATGTAGAGGAGAAATTACAACATATTTCATAATTGTTTGACAAATATAATAATATTCTAATAGCCAAATTTTTCATCTTATTTCACTTTTTCAATATAATTACTTATAATTTATATATGATACAATTTGATGTAGGCACAATAAAATTATTCAAATCTTAGAGACTAGAGTTATCTACACTCAATACTGCAGACAAGATAATGAAACTAAAAATAAGAATCTTACATTTAAAGTACACCACTACAGTAAGGAAGCGGCTTTAGATATTTTAACAATAAAAATATGAACATACTACTTAATACGTAGTTTGGATAAATTTAAACTTATAAAATTAGGTGTAGTTAGTTGTTACATTGTTAAATTTAAAATAAATAGTGGGTAATATTATTAAACTACATAGATACCTATTGTAGATAATACATTTATACTGGAAATGTGAAAATGTAAATATTGTAAATACCTCATTACCTAGGACCTAAAGCTAAAGGTGGGCATTTAAATAAAATGAATAACATATGTAACACAAGTCATGTTAGTTAAGTGAATACAAGGTTGTTAAATTAGAAGTTATTCCTTAGCAAATAAAAAATTTAACCCTCAGTCTAGTCTAAAGGTAATATGAACAAAATATTAACTTAACTCTGTTTAAAAAAAAATTCTATCTACATTTTTAAGCGGCAGGTGGCTCACATTAAGAGTATTTTGTTTCTTTCTATTCTTTCTATAATATGATATTATTTTATATGTTTAAGAAACAGAAATTTCAATAAATATCATTGTATCATCCGTTACTATTATTATTATTACCTATAGTATTTGATTAGGTACTATTATTTTATGTATAAAACCATTAAAAACAACAATTTAAAAATAGGTAAACTAAATATTTAGCTTAACTTAAACTATTTTAACTAGTTAATGCTTACCTTAGCTAAACTATATACTAAATAGTCAATAACACATGATAAACATATATAGATATAACACCGAGATAAACAATATGTATAGTAGGCACTTACTCTATAACTATCCATATTCGAACGCACCCCAGTATAGACCGAGTGTAGGAAAAAAAAGCCACGGAAAAAAGAGCCAAGAAAAAAAGCCACGGGAAAAATAATCCAAGGAAAAAAAATCCACGAAAATAATAGTAATGAATGTATTGATTTTACAATGTGTATTTTTTTATTTTTATTATAAATTTAATAAATTTACTTATTTAATATTTTTAACTTCTACTTTTCTGGTGGGAAAATATTTAAATACAAATTTTATACTATATAATAATATAACTTAATATTGGTTCATATTGCAACATGTACTTTTGAAAAAAATCACCCTGTACAAAGTATATAATAATCAAAAAAATGTAAAACAAGGTTTATAGAGGTATAGTATAACTTAATATTAATTGTAGTTCATACTGCAACAGTGCGGCATGTAGGTACCTACCTACATTTAAAAAAAATCACCCTGTACCTACATAGTAGATACGTTTAAAATAACTAGGTGTAAGACATAAATCAATCAATTAATTTCAAGATAATATGTAGTTTATCCACAAAGTATCAATTTATTTTTGTCCAATTGTGACATGGAAATTTACTGAAGGAAAAGTACTTAAAATTTAAAAATATTATGTTATGTTATACCTACTTATATAATGTAACATTAAAGACTGAGTTAGTCTAATTAAAATTTATAAATATTATGTTACCATGTTATACCTACTTTAAAATGTAAATTTAAAGACTGAGTTAGTCTACCTACTTAACATTAAAAAATATTTTATTATTTTATATACCTACTTTAAAATGTAAATTTAAATACTGAGTTAGTCCACTAAAAGTTTAAAAATATTCTGTTATGTTATACTTTAAAATGTGTTCTGTATTTAAAAAACACCTACATTATTATTATTATACTTACCATATTCCTGTATCAAAGTAACCCCACAATACATTTTAAATTATATCTCGAAAACTATTTGACCAAATTTTAAATGGTTCGAGATTGATAGGTTTCATAACCTTTCCATTAATTTAAAATTAAAAAATATAGTGGTTTCAAAGTCACCCCGATGACGGTATAACTTTGATAGCTATTTTCAAAATATAATTTTAAAAAAACCAATAGTTGAAAAAATTAAATTACAATTTGAGGAAATTGGTAAAAACAAACTTGAGGCAACAACACTATTTTTAGATCTGTGACATAAGTATTAAAGAAATTACAAGTAAAACAACAATAAAAAATTAACAAAATTTATCAAAGTCACCCCGATCTACGGTATGTTAAACATTTAAAAAAAATTATTTAAAAATTATTAATTTATAATTATTATAAAATTTGGATTTTTTTTCCGTGGCTTTTTTTTCTGACTACCGTATAGACCATAGTATAAGGAATAATAGTATTCCATAGACTATGCCACTACGGTCTACTGTCTTCGATCATAAACGACAAAAACATTGTATGATCTTAAGATGTTGATGAATGATGGCAGCTGATGGCAACGGTCTTACGATATAATTTATAAACAATAGTTATAAATTAAAATAATAGCCGTGGATAATGTACATATTTTGTACCGTGAAAAATATCTATCTATCTATCTATCTATCTATCGATATCTACAATCTACTTAGGTACCTACTTAGTATATACATCAATATACCTACTTTACTAATATAATAGTTTTTATAATTGTTTGTGTTTTGTCTTGTAATATAAGTATTAAGTACTAAGTAGGTACCTATTATTATCTAATATGCGTCAGATTTGATGTCTATATTTCGGATTTCCATAATAAAATGTAAAAAAAGGTAGGTACTTAGATCACAACAACACTGTTCGACTGTTCCATAGACATAATAATTATGTCTATGGACTGTTCTATATAAAATAAAATAGTTTAGTTACTGTCTACGTAGTACTTACTATGCATTATGCAATACAATAAGTACAAATCATAAACCCATTACAATTTAAAATTACGACTTAATTTATAAATAAAAATAATAATACTAATTAGTAATTAAAATTAAAATTAATTTATAAACTCGCTGTGGTCGTTTTAATCCCCCGTCAATTAGATCCTGTTGCGTCAGTTAGTCACCGAGATCTAGCTGTCGAGGGATCTATGTGACCGTTCACCTAGCCATGGCCTATCCATTCTTTAATATCTATGTGTGTACAAAATATATAGATAATAATATTATGATGATAAATGATAAAAAAAAACAATGATATTGTTATCAGTATTTTTGTTTCTATCATAAAACTAACAAGTGGTAAAAAATGACAATATTATTGAAATAAGTCTTCTTCACAGGTAGTAAAATATAGTCCACATTACTACCATAAGTTACCACACAGTACACTGTTTACTTCTTAAATCTTACGGGGCATAGACTATTTTATGTATTCTTTATAAAATACTCCATCAATATGTCAGATAAAGCGATGCTCGTTCTGGGTGAAGCTTCTGAATCCGACGATGAAGACTTTCAACAAGTTGAGGTAAGATCAGCTATACAGCGTTATTGTTATATTCAAAACATATATGGCTATAAAAGGATAATGATTCATTTCAGAACGCAAGAAGTGGAATGGTCGAGAGTGACCACACAGAGTTTGATACTGATACCAAATATCGAGCAAGCAATTCAAGTATGTCAAAACATTTATTTAAACAACCATTGACTTTTGAATGATCAAAAGTTGTTTAGTTAACTATTTTAAGTGTGTCTACACATCGACTGTTTTTCATTAATGAAAGTTATTGTAGAAAATAGAAAAAGTCGAGTGGGAAGAGAAAGTTTTGCCAGCCATTCCGACAATTTTAAAATGTCTGAAGACACTTTACTGCATAGAAAATTAAGTAAGTTGATTTGGTATAATATTATTGCTGATAAATTTCCACCATAATCGATGAACAACCGTTAAATAATATTTTAATTCAATTTGTTCTAGAAGAGAAAAATATGCAGTTCTATTCAAATCTTACAACATTCAACAAGCAAATGTATATTAATGCCATGAATCAAATGAATGAAACAGACCAACAATTAGTCAAATCTCAAGTATTACTTCAAGATACTGTGTCCAACTGGAAGTTTATTGAACAAAATTTGTCGCACATCAAACGTAAGATGACTGATATACTGGCTGAGGAGTATATTCCAAAAATTAAAATTTGACGCGTTTCTTCATAGAAAAAAACTTGTAAACATAAATAAAATAAAATAATTGTTACTCTATGATTCCATACAGAAAAAAATGTATTATATTATTTTATTATACTAATACAATAATTGAAAACAACCTCACAAATCTTTAAATAATTACATTTTGAATAGGTACAATAGGAAATGTAATATTATTATAGGATACAAATTATTATTTTTATAAACTGTCAATAAAAAAAAAAAAAAAAAACAGGAAAATAAAGTGAATAACCTACGTGTATAGATATAAAACATCTGGATATAAGTAGTTGTTTAAACAGCAGCTCGACGTTTGATAGACATTTTACCTTTTGATAGGTAAGACAAGTTGATGCGAAATTTACTGTTGTCTGACGTTTTCTTAACCCAAATCTGTAATATAGAAATAATTTACAGATTTTATTTTTGTTCTAATACCATTATTTTTCATAATATTAAACTTTTTAAATTAATTTAATGACTTACAGTTTCGTTGCCAATGGCAGATATAACAGCTGGGAATTTTGCCATTTGCCTTCCTTCGACAAAAACAGGTTGTCCTCGATGATACCTAAAATTAAAATAATTCTTATCTTAGGAAACAAATACTAAACTAAATTGTTCATACCATCTCTTTTCAAACAGCAGTTTTCCATCTTCGATTCGCGTATCTGGTATAGCTGACGATCCTTCAGTGTCTGAATTCTTTTTAGGACTCATGTTACCTGCAGTCGATGAACTAGTACTTGGAAGACATCCTAAAAAATAATTTTAAATAATACTTTATACTTTAATACTATAATACGTCATACTATCAAAATGTAATTGTAAATATAACTAACCTGGTTTCCTAATGGATGAAGAATTTACTGTATCACGTGTTTTGACTGTAGGGGTTGTTGTGGTAGAAGTAGACGCTAATGAAGCCAATGAGTTTTGAATAAGTTTCACATCCTGTTCAATTTCATGATCCTGCAACAAATAATAGATATTTGATACAGGTGGGGGCTTGCGACGTTTTTCTTGGGGAGCTGGCACCACAGGGTCATTTGGTCTTCTTCTCAGTTTCCTTGTCATAGCAGGCTTTTGATCTGACGAGTCAGGAGCTGAAAACCACCCAAATATTATAAAAAGATAAAAATATATACTATATAAAAGTGTTTATATAGTACGTACAAAGTTCCGAGCTCAAACTGTCATTTTCTATAGCTTTTTTCCTTTCATTTAATTCTGATATCAAATTCTCAGTGAGTTCAGCATTACGATCTTCAAACTCTTTGTGAGCTAGACGCCGTTCTCTATTAAACTCCCTTTCGATAGCATCAAACAAACAGTCTCGCCACAAATTGTTCATCATTAGTCTAGTGATAAATTAATTTAAAAAAAAAACATTTGAATCGTGATTTTACTGGCTTTATAATATTAGGTGGAAAAAGAAATATGAACATACTCATTTTTGTGCTGTGCGTCCAATTTTTTCAATTGCTTTACATATTCACCGTGCGTCCCATCGCGCAACTGCTGTAGTTGCTTTTGGATGCCGGCCAATTTGTCCTGGTAGACCCTGGAATTATAAGAAAAAAAAATTCAAATGCAAATTGTTTGGCCACTGTCGACGCAATCAAGTTGGAAAATGAACAACTCACTGCTCCTGAATTTCAGTGTGTTTCTCGCGGTTTTCTTTGCCTTCTTCTGGAAAACAAAAACTAATGACGTTAATGCGAATGTTTACTTGATATAACTTCGTTGGTTGCGTACCATCGGAGTCGGTTAGGTCTTTGTTCTCGATTTTCACACTGACGTTGTCGTCGTCGTCCATTGAAAACGTCGAAGATGGCGACATGTTACTGTCGTGAAAAGACATTGTGCGACAAACCACTCGGACCCTGTAAGCGACGACGGAGTTGACTTAACAGCGCGACCGCTCGCAACGATCGAACGCTTCGCGCAGGACGACCGAAAAGTAAACTATAACTATATAGGCGTATAATAAACAATTTAATAATAGTTTATATAATGGATAATGAATACCCACAATCAGTACAATCTGATTATTGTTATTATTATGTATTATTATTTATCACACTATCAGTTAATTACGATCGATAGTCGAATACCGACAACTACAGTGGTCCGGTGTTGTTGTTGTTGTTGCTGTAATGTTGTTATTCTTGTTACTTGTTTACGGTTTACCCACAGCAAACATTAGACACAAGCTGAAGTCCTATTAACAAAAATATACGGTCTGCGCCGAGGTGGATTAATCAATCCACCTTGATATGCGGCGCATGATAATATTTTGTTGTGTCGCCGATATGAACGTAGGCCGTAGGGCAAACCACGAAAAAATAGATAGGTAATAGGTATGTCAGCTACGATACGAGTTTTAGTCCGGTTAGCGCATCCCACCCTTCCCAGCCATAGTCGTAGTTCGCCTCATTCATTGGTGATACAAATGAAAAAATTCTAAAGGGGCTAGTAGGCGGTAGCTTATTATTTAAATAAAACATTTGACTAATTTTGTTTTAGAAAACTCAAAGACCAAAGTGGTTACTAGAAACGTCATAGAAAGAACATTTGGTATATGGAACAGGCGGTTCCCAGTTTTATATCTAGGAATACGAACCCAAATACAGACTACTCTTACAGTCTTACCACAATATTATTGCTACCGTAGTGTTTGCAGAATATGTTAATTGCAACAAATAAACAAATAACTGATATTTATTTATTTATCTATTTTATAATTCAACGGGTCTAGCCCTTTTACAATTTTGAATGTGGTATAAATTACCTATCATGTATAGAATAAGTACAATAATTAGAGAATATAATAATTATTATGTAGAACACTAAGTTTAAGTGTTTAACTTATATGCTACATCAAGTTCCAGTATTGCCTGTTTGACAAGATGGTAATGCAGTACAAAGAAATTTAATTGAAACATTGTTTGATGTGTACTTTTACCAAATATTTTGAGCAATAAACAAAATTAATCATTTTTGTAACAAGAACAGAAACAAAATTAACAACTTTATTACAAATAATAAACATGACTTTTGTTTTATAATCATATATGGATACAATGCTACAAAAAGGTGAGCAACTAAGTACAGTAGGAATCAAGTGGGTCACAGTAATTAATGTATTAAATTGAATGTATTGAATTCAATGATATAAAATATACAAAACATAAGATACCTTAAATTAACAGTTCTAGTTATAATGATTCTTAAGTCTTAACTTATCCGTACTATTTTCACTCTTAGCAGCTTTAGTCAAATATACAAAAATAAATTGATGTAGATTAGGTATAGGTTTCACAAATATTTATCCAGGTTTCTTCTATTTCATATAGTCTACCAGTAAACTATGTCATAAAAATATTTTTATAAAATATACAAAAAGCATCTTCAATTGTTTTATGTTATACGATTCTTTATTTTACTTTAAAAAAACTTATGATTTCTGAATGATGCATATGAACTAGGTCCACAATTACAGATTGCTTTTAATTATTTCGTTGTTTTGTACATTGTCACCTATAACAAAACATTTATCATTTTAATTATATTTAATCAAGAAGATTAATTAATCAAAGCTAAATCATACTTTTTGAGAACCATTAAACTGTTTACAAGTTTACATATTTTCGATTTTGGAATGGCGAATTTTCCAACCGATTTTTTTAGATTAAACTGCAATGTTTCTTTACATATCCAAGACCTAAAATTATTATAATAATAATTAATAAAATATATAAATTCATAATGATAGCATATTTATGAAAATAACATACGTATAGAAATTCTGTAGAAGAGGTTCATCAACGTTTCTTAAAATATCAGGCCTTATTAATGGCAAATGTACATGTTCCATTAATTTTGGCAAAAAAAATTTTCTCTCATCTAGATTATATCTTACCCATTTAATAACACATTCCAATGCCTACAATAACAAATATTTAAAATTGAATTAAAATATGTACACAAAATATTTTAATATTATAATAATTTGTTAAATCACTCATTAGTGTATGAGTATGATTATTACAGGGTCCCATACATATAATACATCTTCAAGAGATTGAATTCCTTCTTTTTATAGCAAAAAAAGGAACGTTTAATATATTTTTATGGTATTAAATCTGTTTTTATTAGTTTCAATGCTTTGATAATTTTCGACATACGTACCTATTTTTAATATTATAATATTTCTTTATTATTGTTAAAGCCCTATAGGTGGTTTTATTATATATTATTTTTTACACAATATAAACATGGCGATTGGCGGGGTAAGTTTTAGCCACTTGATCACGGTCGGGGCTAACAAGGAAAATAATTCATGATTTAAGGAGATATTAAATGGGTAAGATATAATCTAGATGAGGGAAAATTTTTTTTAGGCAATTTCTAATCCCGTCGTCCCCAGATCTAAGTGTTACTTAGCCGTAAATGATTATTAGTCTGTGTCCATGCGGGTCAATTGTAGTGGTACGGAGGGCTGCTCTCGCACGCACATGTCAGTATGTAATATTGTAATCATGAAAAAATGTATATTTTTCCCTCAAACGTACGATTCTAATTCCGACAATACGTCGCCAGTCGCAACGATTACCTCGATTTGCATTTTGACAAAATATTGTTTTTTTCCACAACATATACGAGCAATAGAGGCACATTTTTAAAATTGTATTTAGTTGATTAATTATTTAAGTTGGAAATTTTAAATTTTTTTGAATTTTTTACATTTTTATTGCAATTTAAATTACGAAAATTATAAATGTGGCCCGATCTTGTATATACTACGGACAATCCGAATATTTATTCAGAATGAAAATCGTGATAATTGTCGACACGTATCGTTGTAATTATAATCCAACGTTATGTTGGTGAATTCTATAGTTAGGTATACCTACAATATACCAGTGGTTTTCAAGCTGGGTGCCGCGAGTATCCAATAGGTGTGCCGCGGTTTTTCCATAAATTACCGACTGCATTGAATTGCGATATAAGAAAATAAATGCTTTCAATCGCTATGGATTTTATGTATATTTATATATTAATAAATCGACAGTTTGTAGGAATAAAGTGATTAAGATAAGTAATCTCAGATAACTATTGAACTATAAAATGTATAAGTAATAACTAATATTAGTAATATTATAAAACCCCAGGCAGTATATCCGTCTCAACCGAATTTTTTCGCTTACGAATATAAAAATAAAAACTAGAAAAACTAAATTCAGTGGAGGAATAAATGTGGGTATGTCTGTCAACTATTCGTCCAAGAATTAAAAATATTTGTAACGCCCATCGCCCATCAGGCACACATTTCTCATTAAATGTACCCATGTATAAACTATGTTTTTTTTTGTAAATAAATGTAATAAATAACTAATTAATTACTTATACAATGTAATTATAATTAATAAATATTTGTTAGCCCATTAATCATACATTTCTAATTAAATGTATTTACAATTATAATTAATTCAAAACAATTTTGTTCATCTAAAAAAAAAAAAAGCTCAGTGTGCCACGAAAATGTTTTGAAGTGTACGGTGTGCCGTGTATAGTAAAAGTTTGAAAACCACTGCAATATACATTAAGTGAAATAATATGTTAGTGGACAGAAATCAACAGTTTTAATTTATTTAGTTATTATAATTTAAAGTAAAGGAAATGTGTACAGAAACGAGTTTTACGGTTTTTTTAACGTATTCTTTTTATAAAAGTTGTAGTTTTGATTACAGAATAATATCGATTGTTCATATAAAACTTTCAATAATGTTTACTCATAATATAGGTTTTGAATAAGCACTAGAAAATTATAAAGCCCCATTCTAATATTCTATTTCTATATTACCTACTCTAATCCCCGCTAAGAAAGGTTTTTTGGTTTCAAATTGCAAATAATACAACAAAAGTGATAGTGAGGCCCTTATTACATTAATACAAGCTGATAAACTGAAATTAATTTCAACCAATTATTTCATTAGATAATAATTCATACTCTGTATTATAATTATTATACTTAGTTACAGCACATCGATACTTAATATTTTCACCAATTATATATTTTATAATTTTCAAAACATTTTGACTCTCTTTGAGTTATTTATATACATTTGAAATTTGAATTTTTTTTTTTAACTGTCGAGTGTCGACATTTTTTTGTTCGGCAAAAGATGGAAGGATTAAAATGTTACATAGTTATTTTACTAAGTATAATACTTTATGTTAAAAATTGAAACGCCACGGTCAACGGGTAGTCACTAGTCGACATCTATATTCTATAACATTGCCCTGGTCCATGGTTGAAATATATTTAAAGTATATTTCAACCATGTACTCGACACTCGTCCCCAAATGTAGTGTTCACTTTGACGGTTTATAATTTTGATTGGCGATGAGATAACGTGTTCAAATATATTATAAGCGATCAGTACTGTCTTAAGAATCTTTTTTTTTCTAACAAAATTCTTTATTATGCTATCTGTTACAATTAGAACAATAAGCTTAAGTGATAATAGAACAAAAACAGACAGAAGGGACTGAAGGAAGAGGCCTCCCATCGAAGGTACTTCAACATGAATAATCTCAAGAATCTAATGGTATAAATGTATAATGGTATAATATTGGTTTTTATTTTTAGTGGGAGTATTTATTTTTTCCCGGAAATGACGATGTCTTCGAACGTCGATAACAAAACCATATTCTATTATTGTTATGTCTGGGTATAATTAATTTAATAACATTAATGACCTGTTAACGTAACATATATTCGGATGTATACAGCGTGTTCCTCCAATATACAGAATGATTGAAAATTATACAATTATTTTCATCACTAATTATTGA